TTTCTGCAGGTGGTAGGCATACAGCTACCCAACCAGCAGGGGGCAGACAGGATCACAATTTGGGTTTAACAGGTAATGAGCCTAAAGGATAGGCCTGAGGGTATGCCATTCCAAGGGGCTGGTGATTTGCTGAGTTAAAGCTTAAAATAGTCAAAGGAGAACAGTTAAGGCCCAAAAGATCTACTAAAGTTAAGTCAGGTGAACTCCAGCATAGCAAAAAGCTAGGCTGAATGGAATACGGATTGTTCAGCTGTTGAGAAGCACTGAACACAAGGCCAGAACCAGGGAAGCAGACCAAGCTGACTAGACCAGTCCTGGTTTTTTAACTAAAGGAAATTTAAAAACAACTTACTCCTGGACATAAATCTAGAGATACAATAATACTACCACAAGATAAACTGTGTTATGATTAAAACAATAAACAAGTATTTGAAAGTTTTGTTTGCTTAAGAGGAGCCCAAAAGGTAATAACGTCTTGATATATAATCTCTTTAGGGCAGGGCATCATCGAAACCAAATAAACATCTGAGTCACTAAGGGTCGGTCTATTCACTACAGATGACCTCAAAGAAACATAGCTTATCTCTTTAATAAGTCTATGGTCTTGTTAGAGGGAAATAAAAAGAAAAAGAAAAAAACAGAGATAAGTTTTTAAAAATATAAAAAGATGTTTACTTAATTTAATTTAAAAATGATTCAAACAACTGGGAAAGAGAAATGATGAGGATTAATGTTAACTGACCTTCAAATGCAACCTAACACAATGTGGCCTAACTACTCTCTACCTCTAGGGTTGGTCTGGCCTCAGCTGTGTACTTCTTGAGCTATTACTACAAACCATCAATTAGCACTGCTGGTGCCAGAGACATCAAGGTTTCTCTTACATAGATAAAAAAGATAAGATATAGAAAAGCAGGACCAAGACAACCGCGTTGGTAGAATTAGGAGGCATTTTCTATTGGGTCTTCATATGGTCTTGAGGGGAAAAGTCAGAAAGTCTGGGAGAAACTCCTAGAGAAGCATAGAGAGCCAGAAATAATGATCCAAGTTAAAATGAAAAAGGTGTAATTTCCAAAGCTGGTAAGGGAAATTAAGAAAAAACCATTACTTAAAAACAAATCAAATATCTGTTCACTCTTTTGCCCCTTGTCTATCCTCTATCTTTAGTTCCATATCCAGAGAAAACAAGAACAAATGAATTGATAATCACATAGGTATAGCCATTTGCAATGAGGCAACCTCATCTAGACAACTTCCTGTTGGCAAGTGCTAACAGGGCTGCCAATTTCCTGTATCCCTTCATATCATGGATAACAATGACAGAACCTTGTGTGATTGCAATCTGGGGCGGGGGGGGTGTTTTGTTTTTGATACAGGATCTTACTATGTAGTCTTGGCTGCTGGAAAGTCACTATGTCAGATGATTGCATTTAAAGTAGTGGACCAGAGAACAGGGTTCCTCCATTTCTAAGACTTTTCTAGTGAAGTTTTGGAGTGGGGTAAATTTAAAAGCAACCATCCAAGAAAATGCCCTTAGTGATCATAAGAATCTATCAACAGGCACTATCTCTGAATGATTCTTCCATCTCCCAATATCAAACCCTGTACTTAACCTCCCATCAATAAGGACTTTTGAATGATACTCAACCCAAAAGAACTCTCTAAAAGAACTGCTGGACAAACCCAACCTTACCACAGACTTTTGTTTGAAGTATCAAATCCTTCACATTCCAAAATTCTTTCATGGTATCCATAGCACATAATCTCACCAGGCACTATTCTTATATACGGTAATACAAAACCCCCGAAGTATTCAATACTTTTAGATAACTAGTCTTTGCAAAACAAACATTAAGCCATATTTTAATTGTTTGATTGAAAGAACTGCACTGAAAATTACCTAACTGAAAGTTTATACAAGGTACTACGGTCATTACAAAAGAGCATACATGAAAAATTTTCATTTTAGAAGCCGTTGCATTTGGGGCTGAAGATATGGCTCAGCAATTAAGAGCACTCACTGGTCTTCCAGAGAACCTGGGTTCGACTCAGCACCCACATGGAAGCCCACAACTGTCTGTAACTCCAGTTTCAGAGCATCCGACATTCTCACACAGACACATGCAGGAAAAATACCAAAGGAAGAATAATTTTTTTTAAAAAAACATACTTTCAATCTTCATGGAGTAAAATTGAGCTATCTTTATAATATCTCACTTATTGGATCATAAATTACTACAAAAAGACACTGATAACTACTAATTCTATTAATTATGCTTCTGAGTTTATGTTAAGGTAAAATGTGTGATTAATTAGTTCCTTTATGTGTGATTTCTTTATGAAACTAACAGAAGAAATAAAATTGTTATAACTTCTGGAGAGATCCATAACCCAAGGTTCAGACTTTTTAAAATTTTTTTTGACAAGCTGCTAAAAGTCACACTCATTATTCATACTTCACTGTCTCAATGCATCAACTAGACAGAATATGGCATAAAAAAATCCAGAACATTACTTTCTGCCTTAGAAAAGAGAAAGATCTATTTTGAAAGGGCCTATAATAATATTAAAGACATATGGTTGATTCTCGCTTTTCACCATCTAATATAAAATAATATAATTGCTTTTCTCATTTCAAAAGAAGCCCCTCATCATTTAATCATTTATTTATTTATTTGATTTTTTGAGACGAAGTTTCTCTGTAGCTTTGGAGCTTGTCCTGGAACTAGCTCTTGTAGACCAGGCTGGCTTTGCACTCACAAAGATCCTCCTGCTTCTGCCTTCTGGGATTAAAGGCATGTGCCACCACCACCCAGCTCATTCTATCATTTAAAACCCACCTATTAGATGAAGTCGTGAAGCAAGTAGGTATGTCATACTAAGTTCATATTCCAATGCCTCTACATTTTTCTCAATTCCATAACAAACTATATTCAGTAACAAATATAATTTAGAAAGCATTATCAAACGATGAAATCATGCTTTTTAACCACTTAACGCAATGTCATGCACTGAGCTAAACTACTATCAAAAAAGATTAATTCTCATGACAAGCCTATGATATGTTAATATTGATATTTTCACTTTGTATATAGATGAGGAAACTGGGGTTTAACAAATTATGTGGGCATATATATTTTATGTGGCAAAATCAGATGGCACAATGAACAGTTGAAGGTAACCATAATTAATCTCAAAGTGACTTCTCTCGAAAGTCAGAACTATAGGAAGGCAGGTCTGATATGCAAGATATTAGCAGACTTTACAATGATGGTCATGGCACCCCTAAGAAAGAATAACTGTTACCTACTATTTTTATCTTTGAAATGATTCATAAAATAAACATTTGCAATTTAGTCTGTGCTGTACAATGCTGTTCTGTATGTAGCATTGCATGCCTCTGTCTTCCCCTCTACTAGATACCAGAAGTTTCTTTAATTAAAGAAACTTCTCTCTTCCCCTCTACTAGATACCAGAAGTTTCTTTAATACTTGTGACTGGTCAATTTACCTCTGCATATTTTCCCAGGCTTTGAATGACCATTGGATAAAAATATGAGGAGAAGCAGGATATGGTGGCACAAGCCTATACTCACAACACTAGAATAAGGCAGGATTGAGAGAGGGATCAAGGCTAGCCTAGGCTATACTGTCTAATCCTATCACAAAGAAAAAGAAGGGGTGGAAACTCAAGAAAGCGCCATTAACAGGTATCATATACCAGGTACTCTATTCAAAAGGTGTGCACATTTTCATTTAGTCTTCATACCCTGAGGTGAATATAAAAATTTTATTCATTCTGCAGGCATGGACCCTCCTACTCAGAACAAAGTTAAGTAACTTCACTAAAAGCACGGCCAATTTTGAAACCAACAGTCTCTCGCAGTCATTCTTGGAAGTCATAATGGTGTGGCAGGTAGGGTATGACTCCCCTCTCTTTAAAATATGTAATTCAGATCATACAAATCTAAATAAAAATGGGGTATGTGTGCTGTGGGATCCATTAGCTCCTTGGCTGTGGTCAAGAAGCCACAGGAGCAGAACCCTTGAAAAGTATGAATGCAAGCACCTATTAGAAGTGCTTTGAACACATGCATATATTTTTAGGGGAATAAGAGAGCTGTGCTGTGTTGTATACATTTTATGTGTTTGGTTTAGTATTGTTAGAGTTTAGTAGTCTCCAGGTACTACACAATTGCTTGAAATGCCTCCTTTCAGCATGTATATCAGGAGATGGATGACAGGGCAGGGTTTGCCCCGTGTGATGTGTGATCAGCTGTAGCCTATGCAGTACAATGCATTGGAACTGCTGGATATCGGGCTGTGCTTGATGGGAGATGTCCACTGGGATGTGTGTCAACAGCGACTGTTGATGTTGTAGTGTTCGAGACGGGGGCGGGGGAAACTTATGTTAGATGATGGTATGCAATGCATAAAAGAGGTGTTGTATTGGAAAAACACTGTGGTGCACCTCACATATGCATGCGCGCTTGCACTCCTGGCAATACTGCATACCAGAAGAGTTCCTTGGGAATCTAGTTGTATACCAGGCCTCCGTGTGGTGTGTTTTAGGGGTGTAGTTTGCTCTAAAAGCGGTGCAGTCACGGAATGATTCATGCGGTATGCTAGGAACAGACCACCGATAAAGTGGTTGCGGAGCAGAACGTCCCGGTAGTGACGTGTGGGGAATGATAGAAAGCAAGGGATGTGGGTGACCCGACTAGGTGACCTGCATGAGCTCCTGGTGTGGCACGAGGCACCGAATGTGAGAGACGGGGTTTAAAGGTGAAGGGTAGCAGGTGGAAGAGTAAGCAGAGAGGACTGTAAGCCACGCGGTGGGCGGAGGAGCTGCGTGGGCCCAGTGTCCGCGAGCTTGCACGCGTGGAGCAGCTACTCGGTTCCTTGCCACCAGTCACACAGAGCCATCCTCCCAGCCACAGCTTCCCTGTCGCCTCTATCCTCTGGCCTCTGGCGCCCCGCGCGCGATCAGGCCTACCTCACCTGGTGAAGGCGAAGTACATGAGGCTGATGATGGTGAAGCTGAGCAGGGTGATAGTGTGCGGCCGATAGAAGAAGTCTATGGTGATGTCCTCCACTTGCTGCTCGTTGATCATGCGGAAATGCATCCTGTAGTTCACATCATCCTTGCTCAGAGTACGGCTCCCCACGCAGGACGCCATGGTCCTTCTCCCCGTACTGCCGGGGCGGCGGAGGCCCCGGCCCGCGAAGGCTGGGACCTCCGCAGTGACAGACCACAGCAGTGTAGCTGCCTGACGCCGGGACCCGGGCTGGCGCCCTGCGAAGGGTGCTAGCAGAGGGAAGGGCCGACGCGCGAGGGCGTGGTCGCGGCGCCACCACTGCTGTACGGGGTGGGGGGACCGCGAGGCGGCTGGCCCTGGCAGGGAGACATCACGGAGAGCTCACTCTAACCTCAACCCTCCCTTGCAGAGCCGTGGAGTCACTGAATTGGAGAACGTGTCGATCGGTAGCAGGTCCTCCAAGACCCTGGCAGGCTCTGTCCACCGACTCCCCCTCCCAATCCGCCGCCGATGGTCTCTCCCACTCGGAGCTCACCTCACGTAGGTGGCGGCGCCGGGCAGGCACGGCGAATCGCTGGCTGGTTTGCTGGGCGACCCGGCAGTGTAGCCGGGCTCGATCTGCGCCGCCGCGGACCTGGCCCAGGTGAATTGGGAGCAGGAGGCCCGGCGGTGTTGGAGCCCGATCTGCCTGCACCCAGCAACAGCAGCAGCTGGGAGCCTCGCGAGGGCTGGTAGGTTCTCGGTGACCCGGAGAGGGAATTCGGGCTTGTTCTGTGCGTCCCTGAACCTTGTAGGTGGCAACGCTGCCACGCTTGTTTAGAAGGAGGCTCGAGAGTGTCGCGTCTTCCTGCCGAAGTTCTGTTAGGGACTCTAAGGCATCCTAACACTACGCTTGGTTAAAGAGTGTTGGTTAAATGACCTTAGGGAGGGAGCCTGCGCTACCTAGAGGCCCTTTATTACGAAGTGCGCTTTTCACCTCTGGAGTGCCAGGGTTAGTTAAAAAGCTGAGATCTTGAACCAAGAAAAATCTGTTCTCGCTCTTTTTTCTGTTCTTAACGAAATAGTGTATGGGGTACAGCTTGAGAGATGTTAAGGATTCTTTTTTCTTCTTAAATCTTCCTGATGTACACACCGCAGGACATTATACACGAGTGCAAATCTTTATTCGTTTCTGAGAGCTGTGTGTGTCTGCACTTGTCCTGTAATCGCTCCCACTCAACAAACCCGAACCCCCTGAGGTTCAAGGTCCTAACTTGGTGCTGGAGAGTCCCTGGGAAGGTGGGTCCAGGGAGGGGGCCGAGCTTTTTTCTTCTGCATAGTTGGTTGTTCTGATGGCTTCGACATTGGAGCAGTTATGTGAGGGCAGTGTAGTTGCAAGTAAAAGTGGAGGGTAAAAATGAGTGGTTAGAACTCAAATCTTTGAATGGAAAAAGAATTTAACAGTGAGTCCACTAGATGTAGGAAGGTTTCTGGACAGACTCTGGGAGTTGGTTTAGAAGTATCACAAAGTGCTTAGACACTTAGGTGTTCTCCACCTTTATGAAAACATACGTTGGAGCTGAGAGTGTAGCCCAGGTTCAGTTTTCACCAGCACAACACACATAAAAGCATTATGTGGAGTTTTTGAGCCTCCATCATCATGAGTTAGAATAGCATGTCCAGTCTTGACATTGCCGCGAGTTCACATCAAGAACCTGGTTTTCGCCAGGCGGTGGTGGTGCAGGCCTTTAATCCCAACACTTGGGAGGCAGAGGCTGGCAGATCTCAGTAAGTTCAAAGTTAGCCTGGTCTACAGAGCAAGAGAAACCTTGTCTTGAAAAACCAAAAAAAAAAAAAAAAAAAGTTACAACCACCAAGGGGGGAAATGTCTTAAGAAAGCTTATGATTTTGTGTTGAGCCACATCGTTCATACCTGTCCTTGACCATTTGTGGATAGGACCAATCTGGCTGTGTGGAAGGTTCACTAAAAGTTTGGTCTTGTTTCGGTGACATAACTGAGTTACCACTTTGATGTCACTACTATGGAGAATATAAGAAGTTTGAGGGAAATTTTGACAGGTTTGGAGGTTCCTAAAATGTAACAAAAGTTACCTATCCCACAAGGTTATTGCAAGCACACCCTTCCTCGGGTCACTTAAGAAGGAAAGAGATTTGCTCTTGTATAAAACTTAGCCAACATCCCCAAACTACAGACCTCCAAGTGTTAACCCTCAAGTGTTTGTGAGACTAGACCCTTGATTCAGGGCCTAAAACAAGCTGAATTCCACTGTGTAGAAAATCAAAATACAGAGGCATAAGCAAGAGTTAATTGACAATTAACATTTTTTTGTCTGTCTGTGTTAAGGTTTAAATAAAAACGCTGCAGGTCCCTGAGTGGCGGCGGGAAGCAGGTCCCAAGATCACGGCAGGCCACAAAGGCAGCCGGGTCCCAGGAAGGGAGTCCCCGAGTAGATGAAGGCTGTTTGCCCGGTATAGGTGAGTTATAACTACAGTATAGAATCTGACTGGAGAGCTGAGTCTGAGCTTGACAGTACTGGCTCTCAACTGGTAAAGCAGGGTTGGATTAAATATATAGTATTTTATGTAAGAGACTTAAAAGTACATTTAAAACATGAGACTTATTGCTTTGTAGTCTGGAATGAGATACAATGAACAGACAATTATAACATTTAACAGTAAACATAGGTGTATTTAAGTTACATGTATGAATACATACACAGTGAACAGGAATTGGGCAAAGTGGATGCTCTTTGTGGGCCCTACCAGAGGCATGCCACTGCACAAAACACACAGGTAACAGAGTCAACACAGGGGAACCAGGCAGGGAATACCTCAGTAAAGATGGCGGGACATGGTCACCTGACCTGGCTCTCAGTTAAGATGGCAGTGAAGTCACCTGACCTCAGTTAAGATAGTAGTAAGGTCACATGTTATATGGAAGAGAAACCTAGAGGCGTAATCCGCCCCGTCGCCCAGCCTCCATGCCACAAGCCACAGCGGGGAGCAAAAGGCTAGAATTGAAAACAGCCACCTCATGGATCCAACCAAACTTGTTGGCAGCAGTAGCTGTAGCAGGGACAGTTTGAAGAAAAGCCAAGCTGGTGGGACACAGGCGGAGTGAGGGTTTATACCATAGTTGAAAATGTGAAAACAGCGACACCACAAGGCTTATGGGGGGATGTCTCCCCTCTATAGGTGGGGTGTGAAAATGGCGGCGACACGGCAAAAAAGACGTCTCTTGTCTACAGGTGGGGTGCTGAAGCCTGCCTGGCTTTGGTCGGGGCAACTTGGAAGCCAAGAGGCCCAAGGCTGCTCCGAGTGATCTCTCACGGTGGGGACCATTGATGAGTGGTCCAAAGGAAAAGGACTGTAGCCATGATGGCTGTGGTTGACTGACCGGAAGGGAAAACTCACCACCAAAGCTGCTGGTGTGTGTAGAGGTCAGCATTCAGGCAGATTGAATGCAGAGCTGTTGTAAAGAAACCTGGTTCCCCAGCCCAGGGTTCCATGTGTCCTCAGCCGGCCCACCCACAGACAGGAGGGAATGTGGCGAGCCTTGCTGAGTCACCAAGCACCAATGTTATGGTTTAAATAAAAACACTGTGCTGTGTCCGAGTAGTGACTGTGTGCAGCTGGCCATGAGACCACACTGCTGGTCCCTGAGTGGAGGCAGGCAGTGGGCAGGCCACAAAGGCAGCCAGGTCCCAGGAAGCAAACCTCCAAGTGGCCCACAGGCCATGAGGGCCAGCTGGTCCTAGGCACAGAGTCATATGGTGGATGAGAGACAGAGACGGATAGACTGAGACTGGTTGTGCAGAGTGGGGTTAGATATTTAATTAGTGGGTTATGGAAGGAAAGGGGAGAAGGGAGAAGAGCAGAGAGAGAGAATGGGGGAAGGGGGGAGCCACAGCAGCAGCTACCTCTTAGGGGGAGACGTGGAAAGGAAAAGACTTGGGCTGCAAGCAAGAAAGAAGATCTGCCTGCCTCAGTGGTATACTGGGGAAAGGGGGGAAGGGGAGTGGGTAGGGCTTGTTTCTTAAAGGGACAGTATACAGTCTGGTCAATAATCATGGCTAACATTTATTGAGGCTTTTCCATTTATTTGTTTGTTTATTTGAATCTGTCTCACATTTGCAGCTCATGCGGGCCTTGAACTTTGAGCAGTCCTGCCTCAGGCTACTGAGTACTAGGATTACAAGCATGACCTCCCCTTCCATATTGTTTATATGGATTATTTTAATTAGTGTTTAAGTGTTGCTGGTCACTTACTTCTTTGTTTCTACTGTTTTGGTTTTGGGGTTGGTTTGGTACTTGTTTGAGTTTTATCCTTTTCTTTCTTTTTTTTTTAAACAGCCTCAAATACATTGCTCTGGCTTTCCTTAAACTTTCAGTGCTGCCTGTGTCCCAAGAAGGTGTTAGAGGAGGTGTTCATTACCATGTCCAGCTGCTCCTTACTTTGACCCTTTCTGTTTGAAAGCCATTCTTTTCTTGCAGCAGGATTTTATGAAACCACCTTTGTTGTCTTTGGAAGGATTGGGTATCAGATTCAGACAGCAGTTTTGGTGTTTGATTTAGCAATATTATGACTCATTTAAAACAGTGGGTTTCTTTTTTTTTAACTTTTGACTAATTTATATGCATAAAATACATTTTAGTAACTCAGCATTATAATCTGTAATATATTTCCTAAACACACTTCAAACCAAGTTCTAAGAACATTTCATTACATTACTGTTATTCTTTCCTTTTGAAGATAAAATTAATAGTTGGTTTGGATCTGTTGTAATTTGAGCATTTACAGATCTTTTTGGTTTAAAGTCATTCTTTGTCTTGTTTTTAAATTGTAAGGCATATCTTTATTTTTCCAGTTCTGAAGTTCCTGTTTTGGTTGGTAGCTCAGACTGCCTTTGGTTATGGCTTTTCATATATAAGAAACATTTGACTACCCTAAACATATTTGTTTAAATCTTTTATTTTAGGAAGAAATTTATTATTATTCATTTGCTGTTTCACTACTGGCTTAAACATTTGAGTAAGTTAATCTGTCTTCTTTTGATGGTTGTGTTTTTCCTTTGTAGTTTGAGAAAAAAAAAATGGCCCTGTTAGCTGAACAGTTACCCAGATGGTTCAACTCAATTAAATTCAGTAACTTCATTAAGGCTGCACAGATCACAAAACGCTCTACAAGACCAGGAAAAACATTGTCAAATGGCTTCTCATCTCAGGCTCTGTTGTCCCCTGACAATTGCTTTCTCCACTGGGGAATTAAGACTTACAAGACATCCTCCTTGTGGAATAGTTTCCAGACTGCCAACTCCAATAGGCAAGAGAACAGTTCTGAGCAAAGTACTCTGCTCCCTTCAGTGAGTGAAAAGCCGGAGAGGATACCCAGCCTTGAATCTGAGCTGTTTCTTGAAGGTAATTCTGAACATTGAGAAAAGTCCCCTTTTCAGGAGTTGTTTTGATCATGCTACATTGAAGCATTAATCTAATTAATCTTAATA